AGGTTTACGAAACACGCTGGGCGGGATTGCGTTACCGCGTTCTCGGCGCTGTTGGCAGCAGCCAAGTGCCCAAGCGCCTCGCACCCGTTAGCCTGTACCCTCTCGCTCGCCGGGTGACCCCCCATCGCCCCCACGACCGCCCTGATGCCCCCCTCCTCCCTGATCTTGACCGCGTTCTCGGCGCTGTTGGCAGCAGCCAAGTGCCCAATCGCCTCGCACCCGTTAGCCTGTACCCTCTCGCTCGCCGGGTGACCCCCCATCGCCCCCACGACCGCCCTGATGCCCCCCTCCTCCCTGATCTTGACCGCGTTCTCGGCGCTGTTGGCAGCCAAGTACCACAGCAGGCTGCATGCCCCCCCCTGCACCCTCTCGCTCGCCGGGTGACCCTCCATCGCCCCCACGACCGCCCTGATGCCCCCCTCCTCCCTGATCTTGACCGCGTTCTCGTCGTTGTTGAACGCCAAGTCATGCAGAAAACTGCACGCATAACAGATGTTTTCTATAATCTCATTGTGTGGCGCCTCTATCATCCCCACGAGCGCTGCGATGCCCCCTTCCTTCCTGAACTGGATTGCGAAGTCTTCAAAGCGGTCCAAGTACCGCAGAAAGTCAAACAAGCATGAGGGTTGACAAAAATGGCAGTGAGACCTCTCGCTTGTCGTGTACGCCTGAATCGCCCCCACGATCGCCGAGATACCTCCTTGATCCAAGATTTCCAGTGCAGTTTCGGTCATGATATCGGAGCTGTACTCATCGACTTCCCCCTCATCAAACAAATAACTCCTGTCGAATGAATGTAGTGTTTGGCATGCCGCTTCCTGTACAAATGCAATTTTCGGATGTGCTTTCATCCCTCGAAGGATGGTCTCGATGTACTTTTAATCCCTGTCATCACGTTGATCTTTTCAATGCCACCTTGAAACCATGCAAAAAATACTTTTTCGGCTCTTGCTAACAAAAAATGATATACGTCGCTCACATCTTTCAGCAACGCTGTGTTCGCTCCGAGGATAAACTCTATGTGTGCACTTATTCCATTGATGACCGCGTCGATTCCCCCTTGCTTCCCAATCTGCACCAAGTATTCTTCTGGAAACTCTTCATCACCGTATGGATTGAAAAAAATGGCAAGCTCCCGTACTTCCTGTCTTGTCGGATACTCCTTCATCGCTCTCATGATCGACCCGATATCTCTTATTGGGTCATGATAATTTAGAAGCGCAAAGCTCGTCAGGGCCCCGCAAGCCTCCTCATATACCGCCTGGCTTGTCGGATGTGTCTTCATCGCTCCGATGATTGCCTCAATGCCACCTTTCTCGGCAATCTCAACTGCGCCACCCCAGTAGAAGGCCAAGATCCTCAGCGCTCTGCAACCCTGCTCCTGTACTCGCTCGCTCTTCGAATGCTCCTTGATGATATTCAGGATAACCTCGATACCACCATTTTCTATGATATCGGCTCTGTTTTTCTTTCTTTTCAGCCAAGCTCCCCAGAATCACGCATGCACGTAGTTGTATTTCTGCATTCAACCGGGCAATCTTGACATCTATCCCTCGCATCACTTGGATAATTGCGACTATTCCTCTTTTTCTCTCTTTTTTTGTCAGCGTACCGATGTTTTGCAAGATTCTTGTGATTTCCACTGTATTTCGCGCTTGCTTGAGTTGGTCAATTAGCTTGTTGCTAAGACATGGTTCGTCAGAGTCATCAGAAGCATCAGACTCCGAACTCGTTGATTCATTGGGCTTTTCGTTCATACTCGGAGCCTGCTCATCGTCATGTGAGCCCTTTTTTTCGTTTGTGATTGTCGTTGCAGTGGCGACTTCAGCAACACAAGAATCCAATGGCTCAGACTTTATTTTCTTCTTCAGAGGTCCATCGAAAGATTGTTCTTGCTTCAGGATATTTTCTTGTCCCATCCAAGTGACCACGTGACTCGAAACCCTAGCCAGCAGATGGATCCCCGGGCATGATTGACGGGAAATATTGACGTTGGAGAACAGTGATTGGTTTTGTCCCATCCAGTAGTACAGGTTCTTCGAGAAGGCGACCGCCTCTTCGTCCGCCACTGCCTTCTCGTGGCCGATCACAAAGTCTACATGCTTGACTAACTCCCTTGCCACGATGCTTGAGTGGCACAGGTTCAGCACCACAAGCCGCAGCTTCGTGCAGTTCTGGACAATCACACCCAAAGAGTCTACAAGCTGCTCAACCGTGATACTCCTTCCTCCTATGGTGATGTCACCTTGTTCTGAGCCATGGCAGGCGAGATGAAGGATTACAGGCTGAGTATCATTGACCTCACGTATGAGCTGGGAGGTGTTCTTGTAGAAGCTGTAATCAAAGCTCACGTTCTCGGCAAACCTTATGAACGCCGCATTTTTTGTCTTGTGAGCTCCTCTCTCGAACTCGCTTTTGATCAAATCTCTCTCCTGCTCGACTTTGAGGCCGCTCCGCTCCTCCGAGTCGGCGAAGAAGAGGACCTTGTGGGGTAGCTCACACGAGAAAAGAGCATCGTCCGGGTCTTCTTTTGCCCGCTTGTGGTCGCAGCAGATGCAGATGCTGCTAAGCTTTCTGCTGGTGCTTGATGTGGCCATGGAAGAGGATATCATCTAATATGAGGGGTGAAGAAACACGACTGGGGGTGGGGTATTTCTGGGATGAGGTGGTGTATTTCTGATGGGGGTGGTAATTTCTGCTAGTAAACGGTATGGTGGGGTCCTTCCATCAATTGTGGGTGGGTGGTGACGATGCGGTACTTTTGAAAGGCTACTAGGTTGAAAAAAAGGAACTAATGAACAGAGAATGTCGGAAAGTTCTTCCGATCATCTTTGGTGGGGTACGACAGGTGACCAAAGAAAATGATGGGGGTAGGCAAGACAAAAAGAAAGTGCTGCCGGGGGTGGTAAAAGGGGAATTCAACAGGAGGTGGGGGTAGATAATCTGAATGTCTGGGGGGTGGGGTATGGCACTTCCCCAGCTGGGGAGAACCGTTGAACGGGGGGCGGCCCGGCGCGGCGTGCCCAGCCCGCCGGCGGCCCGGGACCCTTTGGCCGCTTGAGATAGAAGACTCAGGGTCTAGGTGTCACAGTGGAACTTGATGAGTGACTCACACCGCGGCTGGCACTGATGCATCCCGCCGCGTACGGTCCGGCATGCAAAGAGCTCAAAGCCCGTGACGCGGCAGTCACTGAGCGCAAGAAAGCTCCGCTGTCAGCGTACTGAGCTCCATGGTGATCAGTCCGGAACTCAGTGCCCGGACGTGCGACTCGGATGCGGGCCCGAGCCCGGTGATTTGTCAAACTTTATGACAACCCCCACCCCCTTTTCACCTGCGCCCTACCCCCAGATCCCCTCTCGACCCAATGGTCGCCTTTGGACTAGGGACGAAAGGGAGAGGGACAACGAAGGAGAGGGGAGGCATGAAGGGCAAGAGTGTAGAGGACAGGTGGCTTGATGGATAGAAATGCATCTTCACACACAGCGCTGATTCTAGAAGAATTCCAAGGAGCAGACTTCTCTACCTTGCTATGTAACGTTCGTTTCCTGCAGTAGACCCTTACTCCATGTGAACAGGTGTTGTCCAGGAGGCATGAATGTTGAGTTCATGGCATCGCCGTGCCATAGGTTGAATTGCGTCAGTCCATGATTGGCTCAGTTGCAGCTTCATGACTATCCTTCACCGGCTCTTATTGCTCTTCTTGCTCTCAAACTCAATCCATGCAGACATCAACACTCAGCTCCTGGAGAACGGACCGAACAGAATAGTTGACATACAAGGCAACCCGGTCATCCCAAGTTCGCCGGCGCCATGGTGGTTCAACGGCGGGATAGTTGCCCCCCCGGCCTTCGACGTCTCGGAGGGCACTTTCCTGGACAAGGTAGAGGTTAAGATTTTCTGCGCAACGAACGACGCTGTCATCTTGTACACCGTTGAGCCTTACCAGGCCCAGGGAGGTGGGCCGCAGCTGGAGGGGAGTCAGCTGCTGGGGAGCGTGTACGACGGGAGACCGGTCGTGATCACCCGTACCAGCGTGGTCAAGGCCATAGCAGTTCACCTGTACGCTCTTGACAGCTCAGTCTCTCAGACCGGCGTCATCTACATCCGTGTCAAACCGCCGACGTTCACCATCACCCGAGGAGGCGCGGAGGGGTCGGCCATCGTGACCGTCCTCGCGTCATCCGCCGAGCCCTCGGCCGAACCCTACATCTCCGTCGCCTTCGACAACGACCTCCCTCTTCCTGAGCACCCAACGGGCATCCGGCAGCTCAACGTCACCCTCCTCAAGAGCGCAGTGGTGCGGGCGATCGCGTTTCAAAACGGCCTCCTGCCCAGTGACGTCGCGTCCTCGGGCTTGATCAGCGTGCAGGGGATGCAGGCAGCAGGAGGAAGCGGGTTTGTCCTCGCCGGATGTTGGGACGTTGGAGCTGCGAGCAGCTTCTACGGCAACTACACGAGGCCGAGGAGACAGGACGCGTCCTGCAACGAGCAGTTCCCCACCATGATCGAGCCGGCGCTAGTGCGGGAGTGCGGGGGAGGGCTGGGCCCGTTGATGCTGGTTGGGCCATCTTGCAAGGGAGGAGAGTGGGACGTAGACCCTAGCGGGGTCTCTCCGTGCGACCTGTTGCCTCTCGTCTATCACGCGACCGACGGGTACCAAGGGAGGGCGCTGAAGCCCCTGAGAGTTATGCCAAACTGCTCGACCTCGGGACAACCGCGCTTGACTGACTTTGTCGAGGAGAACAGGTGGGAGGGAGGAGGAGGAGGAGGAGGAGGAGGATGAGGAGGAGGAGGAGGAGGAGGAGGAGGAGCAAGAGGAGGTAGGAAATTCCTTGTTCGCTGACGTTCTAAACTTGCAGGGGCTTGATGGGAATGAGGTTCGATGGGTCGATGAATACTATGCTCCTCCTCTTTCAGAATGTCGACGAGCTGGTCCAGGCGCAGCTGCTCCCCTCAGGAGCTATGACGCTGGAACTCGAGGTCTCCTGCTCCTACTGCTCCTACTGCTCCACCATCATCCCTCCCTCCCTCCCTTCCTGTCCTTCTCCTCCTTCCCCTCCTCTTGCTTGCTCTGATGCCCCTACTCGCTCACAGGTCGTCTTCGATCCCGTGAGGATGGAAAGGAACTCCTCCTACGCCCTCATGGCCGTCAAACAATCCACCGGGAACTTTGCGGGCGCCAACGAGGAGTACAGCAAGGGATGGGCGCTGACCTACCACACCTTCGCCAACCAAGTGAGCCCCCTCCCTCCATCTCCTTCGCAACATCCTCTTCCTTTTCACTCCTGCCTCGTCGCCTCTCTCCTCCGCCCTCCCTCCATCGTCCTCCTCCCTCCTTCATCCTCCCTGTGATGCTGCTCCTGACCTCTCCTCACCCTTGCACAGACTGTCGACGAGGTCACCCTCTCCTTCTCCATCGCCCTCGAGGCCAACTTGGGCCAGAGCGATCTGCCGAGCATGCAGGTGCTTGAGTACTCCTTCCTGCCACAGCAAGTCCTTCCTCCTACCTGGACACACCTCCTCGTCCTCTACGACCTGCACTCTCTCCAGCTCTTTGTCAATGGCTCCCTGGTGGCTCAATCGCAGGCCTGTGCTGTTCCCCTCGATCCTCTCAGGGGCTGCGGGAGGATACAGTACCCCTCGTTCCTCGACCCCCGCGCGCACGGACCAGCCTCCTTCACGGTCGGGGGGTACCAGGACGGGGGCATGGGGATTGCGAGGAGCCACGAGGGCCTACTGGGGAGGGTTCGGCTCTTCTCGGAGGCGCTCATGGGGGACGTGATCCGAGCAGCTGCCCAGCAGATGACGCTGGCAGGGCCCGTCAACCCCTGCAGCAGCGGGACCTTCGGGGTGTTTGCGGGGATGTCGCCGTGCTCCCCCTGCCCACCTGGGACCTTCAACCCTCTGACTGGGCAGGTAAGAACAGCAGCAGCGTCTCCTCCTCCTCTTCCTCGTCCTTGTCCTCATCCTTCTCTCTTTCATCATCATCGTCGTTGGGTTCTCCTTCACCTTCATCGTCCTTGTCCTTGTCCTTCAGGACCTCCTCCTCCTCCTCCTCCTCCTCCTCCTCCTCCTCAGCAGCAGCAGCAGCAGCAGCAGCAGCAGCGCTGACATGGCATGCAGGAGAGCTGCCCCGCTTGCCCTGAGGGTTTCTTTTCGGAGGCAGCAGGAGCGACTATCTGCAGCGTGTGCTCGGTAGGGAAGACAAGCTCCCCTGGCGCCAAGAGCGTCACTGACTGCGTCGAGCCCGACCCCTGTATCCACCAAGTCTGCGACCTCAGAGCGACCTGTGCGCAGGTCTTCCTCCTCCTCCTCCTCCTC